TCACATGAGATGATGAAGCAAAACGACTTCAAAAAACTGTTGAGTTAAATAATACATACTTCAAGATGCCCGTAAGGCTTAGGCATCCGCTGTGGCAGACTATTTAATTAATAACATGTGCTTTACAAAATCCATCATTATATATTTATATAAGAGACTGCTAAGATTTGTTAAAAGCTGTTTTTTCAATAATGTCAGTTCCCCTACTCATACTTTTTCATTTTTAGATGGTGGATCCAGTAAACTTACATCTGGGTTGTATCCACCTGGGGCAGCAGCATCTACTACTACTTCTACTGTTACAGTGTTTCAGTTCATAAAAACCTTTCACGTCATTATGTCACTTGATATTCCTAAAAGCTACATAATATAGGTAGTGTTATTATTTTTATTTTAGAAGTGAAGTTATTAACTCTAAGGGATGCTAACTTGCTCATTGTCATGCAATAAATAAGAGAAGAAACTAAAAATCAAAACAAGGTCTTGCTGATCAAATCTTTCATGCTTTCCATGACACTGCAATTTTCTTGTACTTTGGTTTGGTGGTAGGTGGTGGCCGACGGAAACAATTAGCCCTGTGAAGGAATGGCTAGCACAGGGGCTTGAAATTTCAAGAGAGGCCTCAGAAATGCATGCACCAAGTTCATCTTACACTAACACCTAAAACAAGAGGATATGTATCTGATCAAATATGTCCTTGCATTTTTTAAGAAGACAACTGATTTTCTATATGGCAATACAACCTAACTTAGTAATGTCAATCTTTCATTTATTTAACTAATACTTTTTGTACTGTCGATCCTTTCCAGGTCCTACTAGAAATTCAGTGGTGAGCAAAATAAGCATGATTCCTGCTTTTATGGACCTTACTGTAACTGTAGCAGGAAGCCATTGGAGAGCTCGAATGGGGGACATGATATGATACAATTCAAGCCCTGGAAATACTGTGCTACAATATGAGCTTTGATGTGGACTAGGCAGAGAATACAGTCAGAGAGATAGCATGGAGGAACTGATGGGTGATCTGGGTGAGAGATGATACTGACCTGAATTAAGGTAGTAGCAGTGAGCATGAGAAAAGTGGAGATGAGATATTTAGGAAGTAGTGGTGCTTTGTAACTAACTGTGTGAGAAAGAGAGATGAAGTGACCATGCATCTCAGTTTGTCCAGGATAATTCCAGTTTTTGCCTTTCACTTTCAAAAGCATCCCAATTTGGATGATTAATTCTATGTTAATGCCAGTGACGAGGAAAGAAATGAGAATTCAAGAATGATGCCCAAGTTTCTAGCTTGAACAACTGTGCGGAGCGTTGTGCCATTTACTGAAAGGGTATGTACTAGAAGAGGAACTGGTATAAGATAAGATTCTGATCTCAAGTTTGGAGTAGTGTGTTTGAGGTGACTGTCATGCATTGAGGTGAAGACATAATAATCACATAACTACATGGGTCAGGAGTTAAGGTTGGAGCTTTTGGTTAGAGATATATTGTGATCTGAGAGTGATCGGTTATCAGGATGGTGCCTGAAGTGATGTAAATGTATAAGATCACCAAGCCAGAAAGTATGGAAAACAGTGTGAAGAGGCATAGGTCCCTGAGAAACTCAAAGGAGCCTATTTTTAATGGATTGACAAACAAGGAAGGGCTCACAAAGGAGCTCTGGAAAGGAGAAGCCGGAGTCATAAGAAAACTAGGAGATGCCCAAGTAATGGAAACCCTGGGAAAAGAGTGTTGCAAGAAACAAGTAATGGACAGGAATGTCAAGTGTTATTAACAGGGCACACAAAATAAGATAAGAAAAGCACACATTAACTTCAATAACTAGCAAGTCATTAGAGACATTGGTGACAGTGGTTTGGTGGGGTTGGGTGACATAATCCTTGTGGAATTTTTTTTTTTTATTAGAGATTGGGTCTCACTATGTTGCCCAGGCTGGTCTTGAACTCCTAGGCTCAAGTGATCCTCTCCCCTCAGCCTCCCAAAGTGCTGGGATTACTGGTGTGAGCCACTGCACCAACCTGCTTGTGCAATTTTAAGGAACAATTAGGACATGAGTGAACAATTTTTGAGATTTATAACTGAAAAAGGAAGAAAGCGCGAGTGAAATACCAGGAGGATTTGCAGAATTTGATGAGGATGTCTCTGAAGATGCTATAAGATCGCCCAGTACATTGTACTTAGAGGCTTCCATCTTTAATGTCTATCATGAAAGTGGAAGAATGATTCTGTATAATCATCACTATTAAAATGGTTTTAATTTTTTAGGTAAATTTGTGTGACTTTAAAATTATTTTAAAGTAGTGGGAGCAAGGACACAATTTATGAACTTGCTTTAGCTATTTTTGCCCCCCAAAAATACATCTCATAAATTGGCTCAATAAAAAAATGAAATTCTGCCTTAGTTCTTTTTTTCTCACCGTGCAAAGAATTATGCTACCCTTGGCTTGAGAACACTGAGGATTCTTTGAATGTTCTTTGGTAGATAAAAAAGGTAAAGATTTATGGCAAAGGAAAGCATTTCTGAAAAAGGTGTTCCACATTGTCTTTGTGTATATGCATAAATTATAAACAGGACTCAGGGGTGCTGTCACTGTAATAGCTTTTTGCTCTCTTTGAAGAAAATAGAAAATGCTCACTTAAGGGCTACTGCTTGCATTTCTATTAATGAATCTTTTAAGCTCGAATGATTTTAAATAAGATATTTATGTTCCTTGGTCCTAATAGGCCAAGAACTTAGAAAAACACGTGTGATTAAAGTATCCAAAGTAATAAATTTATGCAGACATATTTAGTAAAAAAAATACTGTTAGTAGCAATACTCATAATAATAATAATACATGTCACAGCTAAAGCCTTTGAGGAAGATTCACAATCAAGGGAAAATGACTGCCAAATCACATGTACTCAGAATTTGATTAGCCTCCTATACTCAAGTTTAATAATTATGTTGAAGATTAATGAACAATTTTTTACACAATAATTGTAATGACGAATGACAAGCCCCCTTTCCCAACTCAAATAAATAAGTTGGAATGGGCTTTTTTTTTCTTGTTTAAGCATTTAGTAAATGTGAATTGAAATCCATCCTTTATCAAAGACATATGGACTATTACTTTAAAGTGATACCACCGATTTGCGTAAGATTATGAAAGTCTCAATGCTTTGCACTCTGAATACACCTGCAAGTTTATCAGTGTCTCTGTTCATAAATATACTTTTAGATTTTCTTTTTAATTCTGGAAATATGTTTAGATGAATTCATTAGTAAATCTATATTATTTATAAGACCTTAAAAATTTCTTCATCCTCTGACTGTGAAATTATTTATCCATCACCCTTATGTCAGTTTTGTTATTTTTACTAAGCCCAGGTGGTATTAATGCTGCTATTCATATTTCATGATGAATTTGTACCTATATATATATATATTATCTGCTTCTTGTGGGGATTAGCAATTCTAGAGATTTTTATAAAATATAGCACATGCTACTTATGGCATAACATATTTAGAAAATTATTTCATAATAGCATTTCTTTTATTGAATTAAAATGCTACGTTTAAAATACTGACCTCATTAAACAAGAACTGATCTTCCAGAGAATTTTCAGAAATATTTAATTCTGTAACTCACATGTCAGGAAATCATCAAAGGATCATTATCATTACCCTCTGAAAGCCAAGTATAACGTAGAACCTGATGAGAGTAGGCTTTAATTAATGAATAATGATGATTTGTTGCATGGAGTAATGTTTTTTTCTAGAGATTTCTACATCAAACATTCTGTTTCTCTTCCTACTTGAAACAGTTTCTGTGTCAAACCAATCAAATTTAAGAATTACAATCACGATGTTCTTTTTAAATTCTATATTCAACTTTGGAATATACCTGTTTTCAGTATTTATATCTATGTATATGTGTACATACATATACATACGTAGAGATATAGGTATGTATTTCTAAAGTTGCCTCTGGAAAGGAAGAGATCTCTAACAGATTTACTACATATTTTCATGAATTCAGCCGTAAAGGAATTTGAAAGCATTGAGCTACTACCTCTATTCAAAATTATGAGATTGGAAATTCCTGGCAGCCTGGATATATGGATTTTTTTCTCTGTCCTCGAGCAATTTATAATCTATCCTTATCTCTCTAAGCCTCAATTTTTTTAATCTATAAAGTGTAAATAATAGTACTTTCCTTGCCAGTTTTTAAGGTAAATGAGGTAAAAGGAAAATGTCTTCAGAGAGTTACTGAGGCTCGTAAATTGATTAAAGTTTATAATTTTAATTGTGTATATGAGGAGTGGGAGTGATTTTGAGAAAGAAATGAAGTGTGGGCCATACAAAGAATTTTATAAATTAATTATCTCAAAGTTCTGCTTCTCAGTTTTGTTATCTGGGTTTTATTTGGTAATAGTATGTGAAATATTCCTTGCTGTATCTGTTTTTCTTTGCTTATTCTCTTCTTCTGCCAAACCAGCTATTCATCTTAATCTCATATATTAAATCATAAACTCATGCCTCTAGCAGCGAGACTATATATTTATTTAACCTAACCCCTTGTGTCCCAGACAAGTGTCATTGGAACTGCCTTAAAGCACCAAGCACAGAACCTTGCATTTGAGTCAAGAAGTGTTTGCTGATCAACAAAATGAATCCCTAAATCTGAACCCCTCTTTCCACTGTACTATTTGCTAAAAGTCTTGTGTTCTGACTTTTAAGGACATTTAGAGAAAAATAGCTCACCATTCCCTTTGTCACTTATTTCTGCATTTTTTTTTTTTTTATTTTTTATGCTAACAAAACCTTCAGTCAGAAAGCTTTCCCCTTATCTCAACCCTAAATCTTATGCTGTGGTTTAGCGTGCTTCTGTATTTATATTTTCAGGTTATTATTATTCAAATACAACAAACAAGTAGTCTTCTTGTTTTTGGCTGGGAATAATTTTTTCCGGGAATAATTAGCTGCTTTCAGTAACTTATTTTTTTGATTTGTTTAGCAGCAGCAACAGAAGAACCAGAAGTGATTCCAGATCCTGCCAAGCAGACAGACAGAGTGGTGAAAATAGCAGGAATTAGTGCTGGAATTTTGGTGTTCATCCTCCTCCTCCTTGTTGTCATATTAATTGTAAAAAAGAGGTAAGACCTGATATTGTCCTGTCCCATTTACTTACCGTTTATGTCACTAATTTAAAAAAATTTTTCTCCAAGCTGTTTTAAATTAGAACAAACGATAAGAAGAATTTAATTTTAACAATGTTGCTAGCATCTGAGTCTATTGCACATATTTTTTAAATAAATTTTCATTTGGTTATTTGCAGTTTAATTTTAGATATAACTTTTACTAATTTAACCTTGAAATTAATGTAAGAATTTAAATTTTCAAATGCAAATGTGCTTGAGATATTAATTTATCTTGTATTTGAAGTGTTATTAAGAATGGCAAAATATGGCTTTATTTTGATACTTGATACTATGAATTATTTTATACTCTTACTCTGTATTTTTCTAAGTCTTGGCTACAAATAAGATATGAGAAGAATATAAACATTGTTTAGTAAACTTGTATATTAAATATTCATAGACTAAAAATTTCAGCCTTTTAAAATGGAGAGTAAATTTTTTTAATTGAATATTAATCTTTTATACTATATCAACCAATATCGCCATCTTCTGGAATTATATGAAGATACTAAGACCTGCTAGAATTTAAACTGAACACTGTTCTGGAGAAGAAAGTATATTCCTCTGAAAAACATTTCAAAGTATACAGTTTTTATAATATGAGCTTTTGTCCATTATATAAAATGTCATAATCTGTAAGGCATTGTCTGAGAAACTAATAGAGCACTCTAATCTTTCCAATCATGTATTTTGGATAATGCTACAATTTGGAAGGACTTTTTAAAACAATCTTTACATGCAGAATACAGCCCTAAAATAGTTTGGTGTATAGAAGTGGTTGTAATTTATGAATTCTATTGCATAATACAATAAATGATGTTGCTTATATTACATTAAATCATATAAGATACTATTATAATCATTTTATACTTGAAATAAAGCATTAACATTATAGATAAGACTCATACTACATGTTTAAATGATTCCATCAGAGTTTATTTTAATATATTGCCTCTTTACAATTATCCCCTGGAGATATATATGTTGGAGAAGACACATCTGCATTAGAAACATTAGGTATGCATTATAGTGTTTTGTGTTAAATTAGCTACATACGTGCTTTCCCCAAACAGTGCTTTCTCTTGCTGTTGTCTCCCTCTGTGGTTGGAAAATACATCATATGTGAGGCAAAAAGGTTTAAATAATTTAGTAATAAAAATTTGCCAATAAAGATCAATAAAACCTTCAAATATCTTCAGATCTTATGTTTCTGTTTAGTTTAAATTTGTATTTGGAGAGCTACCTAAACAGTTTAGAGAACAGAGTTAACTAAACATTCCTTCATAATTAAAATTACTCCAGTCACTTCAAATTGGATATGAGTATGAAAGTGGCTTCTGATTATGTCCTCACTCAGTTACAATTGGGTTACACATATCAGTTTTATTTGTCATTTATTTGAAAACACTTACTTGTTTTGATAGCCCTCCTTATCCATGGCTCTCTGTTTTAAATAGAAAAATAAATTTCCTAAAGTATGCTAAAACCATCACTAAGAAAGATTTCTGGGGGATAAAATGCTCTGACAGCTCTCAAAAATTGCATAATGTAACAAATTTTTTTTCTGGTTCATATTTTCATAAAGGATTAGATTAATGAGCCTCTCTATTAAAATATTTAACATTTGAGTTTTCATAATTATGCTTTAATTGATTGTATTTTGATGGAAAGTACGCTAGGCCTTTTGCTTCTCTTCCTCACTGTCATCTCTATGACTAGGAAAAGTTGCCATTTATAGATAGGTAAAGTTCCGTATTTAGGTCTGTTACCTTCCAATGCATAATACATCTACGTTACTGGAACCCTTGCTAACCTAAGCAACTTTGTAATGACTTTTACTCATATGGAGTATGTGTCACACATGTATCATGTATGTTTTAATCACAATATATTTATTATACATAAAAGCATAGATATTATAACACTTTTGCATTGGGTATTATCAAGTTTAGCTTAAAACTTTTAGTATATGATATAGTTTCCCTTTTAATATCTAAATTTATATTAAAATAACAGAAAAGCAAGTGACTTTAGCATCTTATTATCTGCATTTTAATGGGAAATTGTTAAATTTCTCAAGACTTAATCCCTCACTGAGATTAATACATGTAGGTATATTTCTTATGTCGAAAAAAGTGCCATGTATTTTTGGTTGTGTTGTAAAAGAATGGTTTGGAATTCAATTGAGTAAAGTTTTACAGCTAAGGGTACATATAAAGTAAGTTTTTAGGCTAAGAAAAGGGATATTGCATCTTTCAAAACGCAATGTCATTTTTTAATTTAATTGCCGTTGAATTATTTCCAAATGTATGCCATTTTTCCATTGGTTATGTATTATATTTTACATGCGCAGCACGAACATGTTAATAATTCAAACATAAATTTTAAATTATGTTTCAGTACAGTAAATGTTTGTGTATTATACCATGTTCACATGCATCTACTGTAGAAATATCTTTGTGTATATATAGTATATGGTGCATATGTATATTCACATATGTATATACCTGTGTACCATTAAGTTATAGTGACTTGTTTATAAAAATTTGAGTATTATTCTGCATATATGATATATTAACATAATAGATCTTCATGTTTGCATTTAAATAAAAATAGTCTATATAGTACACAAGTTCTATACACAGCTGTTCCATCTGTCACATATTTAGATGATAATGGATGATATTATGCTTAACTGCATGTTGAAAATACACAATCCATATAATTTTTCAATTTTTTGGCTATAAGAGAAATGTCAGCATGTTATTTTTCCATGTTATTTTTCCAAATTATGTATTTTAAATTTTATTTTTCTATTGCATATCTGTCTGTTTAATTGCATGGCAAAAGAAATCTAACAGTGCATGAGCAAATTGAAATGCAAAGCAAAAAAACATGAATTTTATTTTATTTTATTTTATTTTTTAACGCACATTTTTCTGCTTTATTGAATGTGACAGAGTCACGCTTTTCATTCACCATTGCTTCTCTTTTTCCACTGTCTGTGATTTGCTTGCCAGGAGGAGCTACTATTCTTACTCCTACTACCTGTAAGTAGAAAATGGGTGATGTACAACTTTACATGTGTTAAAGATGCAGTATCCCTTTTCAAAAACAAAACAGAATTTTTGCAATTTTGGTGTCATTTCAAAAAATTTTTTTTCTGGACGCTAAAACTATAAACTTTATTACCTATTTTGCTAATCTTTTTTAAAAGGGATATTGTATTTCTGTATGTTCAGCTACTTTTTATTTATAATTTTCCATAAGTAGCTTTAGTCTACAGCCAAAACATCATTTATTTACTGAAATCAAACCTGTACCTTCTCTTAGCAATATTGCACTTCACTCATCTGGTAAAGTACAGATAGTGGTTGTAACTCACAAATCCCTGTCTTTATGTAGCACCATGATGTTTGACAAAATGAGCCATGTGATGTATTTATGGGAGAACACTCAAAATGCCTTCATGGAATGCAAATCAGATCAAGTATGCATGTGATAACATCTCTCTCCGTATTTCTAGGCATCCAGGATGGACTATAACTTCAGAACACCTTTTGTCTGGCTACGAAGCCCATCAGTGTGCTCTTTAAAAAAAAAAAAAAAAATAGGCGAAAAAAAAATTATACGTTATAGCAACAAAAAAATAAAAATTCTTTTTAGAGAAAAAAATGAGTTTGTTTATTATAACTTAAATATAGGACAAAGTTTTTCTAAAACCAAGGCCAAATAAAACTTTTGTCAACCTACTTAGGAACTAACATAGGTATCACATAGCTACTTTTCTCTTCCAAAGTCTATGACTCATCTTAGACTTGGGCGTGGAGTATGCATTTGAGTAAGGATGGAGAGGATTGTCCATTCTATTTCCTGAGTCATTTTCAGTTTATCACCTTATAGGCCGAGTCCAAAGGAATGATACAACAAAGCATGCTTGGACTTTGCTTGGCCAATATTTGGTCTACCACCTTTCAGTGCTTAAGGATTGAATTTGATTATGTTTGGGTCATATATTCCACAGCGTTTAAATCACTAGGTAGATTTAAACTGGCTTTACAAGAGAACTTTGTAAGAGTCTCTGTGACTATAACACGATTCTGCCAACATTTTAAATATTATAAACATTTGGCTTCCTAAAATATGCTAAAACAAGCACGTATAAACTAAGAGTGCTTCTAGCTTATTGTGATGAATCATAATATCCTTTTTAAATCGTGTTTGATGAAGCCAGAGGTAATTAACGGTACCATTTCATATAGTGATGGAGCACTTTCCCCCTTTATGGCCCACCCATACATCCACCTGCAGAAGTTTATGCTGTTGGCTGCTTTGATAATGAAAATCATTTGCACATCTGTCAAACTCAAGTAGTTGCAAAATGAATTGCTTAACTGTCCTGAAGTGCACATTATTATGCCAGTTGCTCAGGGGGAAACAGAGCATCAAACATACTGGAATCAATAAGTATTTAATTATGAGAATGTCAGTAAGCTTACCATTAGCCATTGATGTATCTCTAATATTAGAATGGTACTCCCATTTTGGTGGATGGGTAACATTTCAATGTTCCAGATGATGTAGCAGGTTATGCCAATGTTACTGTAATACTTAGGGCTACTGGCATTTTTTAATCATAACCAGAAAGAATGTCACAGAAATATGCTTTTAAAGACTACCGTAAAGGCTAGTAAAGCTAATCTGAATTAGAGGGGTATTTTTATAAAAGTGAAAATAAATTGGAGTAGAACTTAAAACCAGATGTAAATTTTAAAGTAACCTTCATTGGCATTGTCATAGTAACTATCAGTTTTTAATGAAAACACTTAACACTTATGTTAATTTTTCTTTGTTTTGTAAGAACTGGAATGAAAGCCTACCTCACAGGGTTGTTGTGAGGATTAAGGTGTAAGAAGGAAGCTGATAATGCATGGCTGGCAGATATTAACAAAGGTTATATTGCCCCATAATTTGTCAAGTAATCTAGGTATATAAATCCGAAAAGTAAAAGTCCTTCATTGTGTGAAAACTCCAGCCTGTCGTGCATTTGACAAATTCGTTAGTCTTTGTTTTTCCCCAGTCGTGAAATATGTATAAATTGTATATATTTTAAAGTCTCAAGATTTAAACTTACCTTTTCTATTTATTTTGAATGGCCCGTCTTCAAAATGTTAGCATTATTTTGAATCCAAATTTCAGTTTGTGCTATTTTTATCCAATTCAATCTCTCACATTTTTTGAGAAATGAATTCATTCTTTCTTCATGCCCAAGAAACAAAAATTGGCAATTATTTCTTAAACTATGTTCTTGCCATTTTAAAATTTACAAATGGTAGAACATCTGTGCTATATTCATATTCTTCTCAAATTTATAACAACTAATGTTTAACTGCTAGAGTTAAGTAGTGCTTTTTATGTCAGTACACTTTGTAATGTGGCAATTAAAAAAACATATGCAACTAGATATAGTATAAGAGCTTAAGCTTTGGAACCAGGTCATTCTTTATTGCTTAGTAGACAAATGACCTGGGGCACATTATTTCACTCCTCTGAGTCTCGGTGAACTTATCTATACAATTAGAACTGTTACATCTTTTTCAGTGGATTGATCTGAGAATTGGGTTAACAAATGAAAAGTGCCAAGCATATCACAGGCCTAATTTATCTAGTCAACAAGTATTTATTGAGTGCCGGCTGTGTGCCAGGCACTGCTCCAAGTGCCAAGGATATACAGATGATCCTTCTCTGCATGGAACACACAGTAGGGAAAACAATAAAAAGATGCTTGCAATGATACATCATGAGTGTTATTACAGGGGGAGAACTTGGTGGTATAGAAAACACCTAGCCGTGAAACCTAACTTGAGACCCATTGTGTTGGAATCAGTCATATAAAGCCTCCGTGATAAGTGTCTATTAAGCTGAGACAGAACAGATGGAGGTTAGCCAGATGTTAGAGGCAAAGGAACGTTTTAGGTTAAAGAACACACATTCTGTATGATGGCCTAGACAAAAGCTTGGAAAATGGAAGTCTTTAGGCTAAATATGACCTGATGATGTTTAATGAGGCCCATACACTGTTTCAAAAACTAAAACCACTTGAAAACAATCAAGAAAATTAAACAATCAAATTCATGTCTTGTCTCCGAAAAAAAAAAAAATTAAATCAGAAATTCAACACTGGGACCAAACGCCAGTAGACATGTAAGCAAGTAGCCCCCAAGCTGCTCTCCACTTCTTCACAGTCCTTACCGTTCCTTCCTGGCAGCAGCACTCATTCATATTCCCCGTCTGAAACCTATGCATTTGTACAGGACTTCTGCCCCCCTAGCCTAGAAAAAGAGATAATATATATCTTTCGATGTATAAAGTGAATATTGCTAATAAATGATGGTGCTAGTGGTAGTGACGGTGTACTGGTAGTTATAGTGGTGGTGGTCGTAGTTCTTGTTACAGTTTCGTCATTGTTTTCTCATTACTAATACTGTGATTATCATTATTATTTTTTTTTAAGAAAATAAAGCTATCTTCATCCCTAAATCTTAGTTTATGACTATCTTAAACAAGAGAGTGTCAGATCTGCTGTGTCAATGTGTTATGTGTGTTCGTTATGTACCCCCTGAAGCCAAGTTACTATAATTTTTAGAGAAAAATAGCCTACACAAGAACGATCCTCAAATCACTAGATTAATTTTTTAAAGGAAAAGCCTTTGGATATAAACGCAATCTATTAAATGAGACTTTGTAGTATTTATGGTGCATTTACGCTACTTTAGATACTAATGAAGATGAGAAGAAAATAGCTTATGGTCTAGCTGAGAAATCATGTTCTTAAAACAATTTAAGAATATTTCTAAGGCAACATAAACTGCTGCCATAAACTTAATAACATAATGTACCTCGTACAGGTTTTTAAAGTATCTTTATATAATATATAAATTACATTGTTAATGTGATTTAAATGTTTTACATACCTTTAATAGCTTTTTTCCTTGTATGTTTCATGTGTAACATTCACGAAGAAACAATGTATTTTACATCGTTGATATGTAAGATAAAGATGTCAATATTTGAGTAGTTCATAATTCTAAAGCTGCTAATTTCCAAATCCCCTAAATCATTTGCCCTGCAGCATTTATAAAGTATTTCTGTACTGGATACGTTGCCATCTGGTTCTAATACACATTTTTAGTATTTGATCACGTCAATACTCCAAGATGATCATAATTTGCATAGTTCCTTTACATATCATATTATAAACTTTCTCTGTGCTTTTCGTACATAGTATGTGATTTAAGTCCATATATTTGTGTGTATTTGAATCATTCTAGCTGTGGTTGATTCTAAAAGTCTTCAGATGAGGTTTTGATTAGTGGTATAAATATGTTGCTAAATGTGTTAAAATTATACATGTTGCGTTTTTTACTTAGTAATGGCACAAAGAATGAAGAATGGGACATTTCTTTGTCTATTTTAATTGGGTGGCTATAGTAAAATAAACTTGAAAAAATAGTCATGTTATTTCTAAGAACTTCTAAAAGCTGACCAAAAGAATTAATCACCTAGGAGGAAAATCAAAACCTAGCTCTAGCTTAAATTTTCCTTGAACTACTCTAGTAAGAAAGTATTTTTTTATGCTTTTAATAACATACAGTTATATTTTTATGATATTATTTTATGGATAACAATAAAACACTAGAAATGATGAGAAGTATGGGTTGATGGTGTGAATACTGATATAGCCATCTGACAAAATAGTTTCATAGCAACCAACAAATATAACTGTTTCAATGTCAAACTTAATTCTTGAAATTATGATCAGGTCTTAGGGTTTCTGAACCATGTCTATAACTTTATCCTCGGGCTCACCTGAACTGCTTGTTGCTGGTGTCAACTCTCCCTCAAATCCCACATTAAGGATTCCCTTTTGTATTTGCCTTGTCAGCAAGCTTGCTAAAAAACGCAAAGATGCTATGGGGAACACCCGGCAAGAGATGACTCATATGGTGAATGCTATGGATCGAAGTTATGCTGATCAGAGCACTTTGCACGCAGAGGATCCTCTTTCCATCACCTTCATGGATCAACATAATTTTAGTCCAAGATGTAAGTCCTTCATTAAAATTGTAATAAATGATTTTGGATCTCATTAAGTTCACTTTGACTTCTACACGTTACCTTTTGCATAGTGAGAAGGAGTAAAAAAGAAAGAAGAAGCAGATAGAGGAAAAAGGATGTTATGGAATTTACAAGAAGGATTATTTGCAGAGTTGATACTGGGTTTAGTTTAACTTCCAGCCATATACATTTTATGACTGTATCATAGGAGAAATTTCAAACCTATTACCACTCAGGCCATATCATTTGTCATGTGTTAAGTTAAAATATGTGATTGCCTACCTAAAATTAGTTCATCTCGGAATTTATAATTATTTGGTCATTTGCATCTTTCTTTGTGTAAGATAAAGTTTCCGTCGCAATAAGAGAAAAAACATGATTCTTTCTGGAATTATTGGCATGGGTAAAATCATTGCATTAAAATTTTCTACTATGAACTTTTGGAGAATTTCAGCACTAAAAAGTTAACTAGGGGCAAGATTAAGCTACATACTCTTAAGTATCTAGTATGGTCCAAAAGTATACTTGAATTGGGGACTTTGCAGAAAATTGTGAAATTCATCCATCTATCTATCCATCTTAAGAATTCCTAATGTTGATCTCTGAAGGCAGGGCTTTTAAAATATATCCACTAACGTGATGTTTAACAGCAGATGATTTGAATAATTATCCCAGATTGATATTACTGTTTATCTTCAAATTTCCTATGAATTGTATGCTCTCTTCTATGCCTATGTTAATTTTAAATTAATTAAATTTAAGCTAAATTACCTAATTTTGTATCTTCAGACCCTTAAGTAAAATTGATGCTTGAGGTAGGCAAATCGGATTTATCATCGGCCTTGTGTATCTTGGGTCTTGTGGCATTTGCACAGATCCCAGATGTGCTTACCCCAGTTTGAAAAACATGGGTGTAAGGAAAGAAGTAAACAATAGAACTGTTTTTTTTCCTATATGGATTACAAACATATGTAGTATAGTGAGATTGCGAACAAAGTATTTATGGGTTATATGTTTTTATGTCTTTTCAAAGAGGGAGATTTTTTCTGAAGTGTTCAGCTTGGTGAAATTTTTCAGTAATTATTGCCCTAAATGCAGCCTGTCATTTTCCATGATATATATCTACACCAAATTAGTAGTTAGAAATGCTATAGATGAGTCATTTGGGAATGTAGCTTTAATCATGATAGGACCTCTCTAATCTATTTTATTTTTATTTCACTATAAGATAAATGATAGAAAATAGCATAAAATACTATTATTGTTGAAAGTTAGTTTTGCTGAAAATATAGATTTATCATCTCTTTAACTACTTGATTTAATATTTAACCAATTACAGATTTCAAAGCATTTTGGTGCTTTCAAAGCATTTTGGTGCATTTTGGTGAAGTTTTTACCTATTGCCTATGTTAGGACCTTATTAGAAAGTTTGAATTCAGCAGTGTAACTATAAATATCCACTTATGAACTGAGAGAAATGATTAAATCTATTTCCCACAGTTAACTGAAAAAATTTATTTGGAATGAATATGAGATAATTACTTCTCTAAATACCTTACATTTGATAGATCTAAAATGCATGGTTTCTTTTCTCCTAACTTTATAATCTTTATAGTGTCAAGTTGAATCTTCTGGCTTTTTAAATTGAACAGAGCACTGAACTATAATTATAGATACACTTTTCTTGATATTTAGAGATAACCCAAGCTGGAAGAAAGAATTTTACCTTTACAGGATACAGTATTCAGACAAAGTTTAATAATTATATTTCTTACGAAAGCATAAATCTATTTTAAAGAAAAAGATGTTAAAATATAACTTTAGAGCAATATATTCTTTCATGAGCTTTATTTTCCTACAGTGCCCAATGATCCACTTGTACCGACTGCTGTGTTAGGTGAGGCTCTAAATCTTTATCATCTTTTTATTGCATGGATCACACCTTCTTGCTTTTGTCCATATAGTAATTATTTACAGTGCAGGAAGCAGCTTGAGTTTGAAAATATGCAGCCATGATCTTATCAAAGAGCTGTGTTGTTCAACTCAATCGAATTTAGTGGATATCAAATTAGCAAGGTATACTGTTTAAAGCAATGTATTTTTAAATTCTTGGTTCTGTTAGGTTTGGAGCAAAAGTACAGTGGCCCTTAATGTACAACTAATGTTAACATATCCAAGTTAGTATAATAGAATGAACTGAAATGCACAGATCTCAGGGACCAGTGCTGCCTGCATAACCAGTTCATATAAAAAAGTCTATAGAAAGGGATTTTCTAAATTTTCCTATTTTATAGCAATATAATAACAACATTTACAAGTGAGCAGTATGATTGTGTGCATTTGCTTTAGTTTTTGTCTATATTAGGAATTTTTATAAATGTAGGTAAAGTTGTTTGAGTCTTGATGTGGGGTTCAGCATTCTCCATGAACCTCACATAATAAGTAGTGCTGTCTGAAGAAATTTAGAACAAGCCACTTGGTTTACCACCATATAACATCTAAGACAACTGTTACTGCTAGTGATGATTAAGGCTTTTTCAGATAAATCACATTATTTTTAAATCCAGCTATATATTTAAGAACGGAATGGGTTTAATTTCAATGAGTACCCTATTCCTTGACTAATTATATGATTCATGACCAGCTTGCCTCTATGTTCATAAGTTCCATATCAGTTTTACCTATTTCTAATTAAGATTTAACCAAAGAAATATGGAAATTGTCAGATAAATATATCTTAAGAATTCCCAAGTGTCATGTTTGTTATTTACATTTAATATTTCTTGTGAACATAAAACTTACATTTTATGCATGATTTGTTATCCATATATTCAATGATCAATTACATTTTAAAAATATTTTGAAACAATACAAGTAACTTGGTTAAATAAAATATACCTCTTGTTCACTAAAATAAACAATTAAAATTATAATTTTATAATTGATACAAAAATATATATGCTGAAAGAATCTGAAAGGCAATGCTCCTGTCTCTGACTGCTCTCTCTCTTTGATGTCCATCCCAGTAATGACAGGGAAGTGAACTGGGGGATTTGTCCCTCGGGGTGGCCTGATCATGTAAGGCATAAATAGTGATCAGTGGGGAGGCACCAAATGCCTCTGAAAATGTCATCTTCTGTTGCACACTGTAGAAGGCTGCCAGTATCAAATTAATAAGTAATTTCAATTAAAATATTGAGAAAGTCTTTAGAAAAAAATAGTTGCCTACATGTTAAGATTTCATTATAGTAATTTTCTAAATGTACGTAGAATTAAGTCTAAGTCTCAGTCCCCTTGCGGATTTACAATATGAACTCAAAAAAACACCTTACATCTTTGCTTTCTCATCTTTAAATCAATATAATAATTCCTACCATACCGTTTTCAGAAGGTTTTATAAAGAGAAAATGAGATAATGTATTTGAGTTTTACAAACTATAAAGTTTATACAATTATTTTAATAGTTTTCCCTGTGAAAAGGGATTTCGTGTTTAAGGAAGGCTAGATTTAACACAATAGAGTCGTAAAATGTAGTTATATAAACATTCATCATGCATTTTATTTCATTGTGAAAGTCAAGCTGGTTGGTTTTTTTTTAAAAAAAAAAATTGGCATTCTTTAAAAGCTAAATCTCTCATTAATCATAGTAGATGTAGAAATGATTTGTTGCATTTTTTATCATTCTTGGGATTGCGATGTTTACAGTTTTGCATCCAATTGATTCTTTAAAACAATTTCTGAAATCATCTCAAATATTGCTTTATATTAATATTTACATACTGATTTAAAAGGGCTTAGCAACTTTTCATATTGATTCATATTTTTCTTTTGTGTTTTACTGCTTCATTGGGTTTAAGTCCCTATAACAGGTAAGTGTATTTCAAAGAACTCTAGAAAACCTTTCAATCAAGGATGTATTTGAAGTTATTATTCTTAAATGTATAATAAAGATAATGATTAGTACATGTACCCTCACTACTAGTCACATTATTAGGTGGTTTAATGAGGTGGAAATGTATTGAGATTAATAATTCATATGTGATGATTTTAAAGACCTTACTGCTCATTGTACTACTGTATTAAAGCTTAATGCAAAACAAAAGGCACTGTCTATTTCATATGGGGACACAATCATCTGTAAGATTTGGAATATGGTTGAATTCTGTGTTTCTCACTAAGCCTTTTACAACTGTAAATTTTCCGCTGCTGCAGCAGGTACAATGTGAGCTCTGGGCTGCTCCTCTGAGCCCTGGCTACCTTCTTCCAGCTTGGGTGATTGCATTTTGCCTCTCTGATGTTATCTGTTCTCTTTACTCCTCATCCTAAACTATATTCTGTAATAGTGCCCAAATCAATTGCTTCCGAATTTAATTTTACTGGGGAGATGTACATATTCTTTATGTCAGTCTATTGATTGTAATATTTTAACAAATGTAGGTCAATTGACCGTGGTCTCATAGTAAGAAGAGGAAACTCTCATGAATCACGTTTGCTAGCAAATGTTTGTGTGTGGAAGGGTGGTCAAAACCTGAGTAAAAGGCATAAATCCACTTGGGTGGTTAGGTCACAACAGAATCCACCAGGGATTTTTTGATTCATTGTGGTATTTTTAGGAGTGAATGCAAAAAATAAAAAAAATGCATTCAGCTTAGTAAGAGGGAGTAAAGATAAATGCAATCAAGCTAAAATTATAGAGGCACACAAATCTGATTGTAGGGTTCTTTTTTTTTTTTTCCTTCTCCAGGAAGAAAAAATGTTTATCATGGGGACAACAATTCATTTTTTGCCATATCCTATTTGTAGAGTTGGTGATAGAACAGGCAAATGTACCAGCACTTGAAATATGTTTAACTGTTAATTAAATATCATTTTCTACAGTATGCATTATCATTAAAAACAAAAGTTCCCCTAAAAGTGTACTTTCTCTTCTGTTAATGAGTATGGTAGTTATAATGCTTTTCAAAGTAACACCCCTTTAAAACATTTGTTTTTTTTTTTTTTTAAAGTGGTAAGTTTAAATGTGATAAATATGAGCATGCTTCTAATTGTAATGATTAGTACTTTGGTCATTAAAATACTGTTTATTCTTCATAGGCAAAATGTTCTTGTTCTTTTCTTCCTTCTTATGACAGAAAGAGAATTAAGTTTCTTTTCATTTTAAGCTAATAATACAACTGGGATGGGTCCTACACTTAGATGTGGGCGGTCAGGGAGTCTATGGATTTCAAGTAATTCATTCATTGAAATATTTATTGAGTGCTATGCACCAAGCACTAGGAATAAAAAGAAAAATATGACTCCGTCTCTGTAATCTAAGTATTCAGAATTTAGTGAGGAAAATAAACAAGTAAATAAATGATTAAATATGGGGCAAGTGAAATGCCATGTAGGACAACAGGAAGTCATGGGAGCATAAGGGAGCTTTATAACTCAGTCTGGGTGGGCCAGGGAAGAATTCCAGGGGAGGTACTCACATTTTGCTTCAGACATACCTTGATTTCCTTACACAGTGGCCAGGAGCCTCAAAATCTATTTGTAATAAAAACAACATAATAATAAATCAAGGAGGAAGAGATTGAATGTAAATGCATGTGCAGCCTGGGTAACAGACAGAGCGGAGTTGGGGTGACCTTGTAGAATGCTCACATTTCCCAGTCCAGAGTGTGTTGTGGTAAGAAGCCCCAGGTGGTCGGGCACAGTAGCGCCACCAGGGCAATAGCAGCCTTGTGGGGATGGTTGCCTAGGTTGGGTTTCTGAGGGAGGTTGGGATGTGGGTGGGAAGGAGTTTGTTCAACTTAATGGGCAGTGAAAACATCTCTCTGATTGACATCTTGATACTGCTTTGACTGCAGATACAGGAAAAAATAAGAACTCAACAAAATCTCCCACTTACACGCTTTTTAAAAGTGGATCAGATGTCTCACTGCATCTCACAGCATCTGTTGTCTTGCTGATATACACATGATGTACTCTGACCTCAAACCTTGAGCTTTATCTTTATGGGGATGCTGCCCTAGGCCTATACTGTCTGGTATTTCTTTCCCTTCCTCCTGTTATCAGAAAGGTCTTAAGGTCTTAAAATCTTTGCATGGCTATCTATTAAACAAGATAACTTTGTCTCTTTTTTAATCTTCTGGAATCTGAAAAATACCAGATGAGAACCACAGCGCCACAGCAGAGTCCAGTCGCCTTCTAGATGTTCCTCGCTACCTCTGCGAGGGGACGGAATCCCCTTACCAAACGGGACAGCTGCACCCAGCCATCAGGGTAGCCGACTTACTGCAGCACATTAATCTCATGAAGACATCGGACAGCTATGGGTTCAAAGAGGAGTATGAGGTGAAAGCTTTAATACTATATTGAATTTGATTTTTAACCATGATAGTAGAAGTTAACATTTTTCCTCCCTTTAACAAGGTGCAGACTGCTCTGTAGGGTCTCTAATCCAGTGTTTATGAACCTACAATCAAGTGTGTATATGGGAGGGGGGAGGGAAGTGAAAGAAAACAGCTCTTCCCAGGGATATATCTGAGTCCAAATTCCTTATAAGAATTTTTAATGTTGGATCGCATAATTTATTTCACTATGTTATTAAAAACACTTTATTACCTTTGTATGTCCCCAGTCAAAAATCAAATGGCAATATAACCTTGAGTCCCATTGTACCATTACAGATTCTATCACTTGAATGACTTAAGTAGCAGGTACTTCTCTGTCTCTTTGGTTGTTGACCCTCTGATTGAGAAATCAAATGAAGCTTTGTGCTCTAAATGTTACTACTTGCCACTCTCAGTTTATTTTGTGGGTTATTGGTTGATGGTGGCGGGGAAGAAAAACAGAACACTGAAAATCTGGTAAACAGTATTAAGAAGCCAGAAGAAGCCTGTGGGAAATTCTTCTTCCGACCTTGTTTCCCCTTCCCACGCAAACCAAAATACCAGAATCTATCTTACAAAGGAAGTGATTTAAAACTGAGCATTCCACTAAACATAATATAGCAAAAAGGAAAAATTCCTTTGCCACCCTTCACTTACTGAGAGATGCTATGTTGGGGCATGGAAGGAAGCCAGTCCACTCCCCATACACACGCCACGGTACACACACATTTGAAGTGAAAGAATTGCAAGCAACACTTGGCTTTAAAAGACCATCCAGAATACATCCAACTTCATGAAGAATTGTTTAAACTCTAAATTTTACCTACAGATTACTTGTATACCTTAATTTGGCAGTGAATAAAATTTTCTTTGAATTTGGAAAAATCCGTTGTAGATATATACTGGAAACATGGTGCTGTGCTAACAAAATAAGTGCAAGGAATTAGAATATTCTGCCAGAGCTCGTTCTTTTTGTTCGTTTCATGTGTATTCCTGTGTACCTCACTTCAAAGACAGATGGCTCTTTGAAGACCCCATTTCCTGTGTTGAGCAAAGTTTAAGTTTTTCAGCAAAAAGAAGTCTATACCCATATTTTAAATTGCTACATATAGTAATTAAAGCAATCAACAAATTCATCTGTTCCCAGATTCTGGGAGAAGAGGACTTTTTTTAATTTTCATGTGGTCCCTTGTTGTAAAGACTCAGTCATGATCTTCAAAGAAACTGAAATGTGTTGTACTGCATATGATTTAATGAATAATTACGGAGGGAAGTAGGTTTTCTTTTTGCTGTTATAAATGCTAAAGGATGCACATTTAAATGATACTCATTAAAATAATTTTTTTCAGTTTTTGATGCACTATCATTCAGTATGTGTTGAAAAGAATGATTTCTTTTAGCTACTTTTAGCTCACAAAGATACAGCAGTCTTAAATTTGAAATACTTTCAAGGTCTCTTTTTTCTCCAAAGTTCTTTTTTGTCTTATTTTGAACTCAATCCAGTCCAAGATGAACAAGTACGAGTCCAACAAACCAGCTTTGAGGTCTGAGAATGAAAACTTGTTTACTACTATAGGACTCCCTCTCTGACAAAATGGCTTTTACTATTTAGATCTTCAAAACAGATAAACCAGATTTTTTAAAAAGGAATTAAATTCAGTCTGCTTGTTTATTTTTTTTCCGCAGAGCTTCTTTGAAGGACAGTCAGCATCTTGGGATGTAGCTAAAAAAGATCAAAATAGAGCAAAAAACAGATATGGAAACATTATAGCATGTAAGTTCCCATACAGTTCTTGCTGAATGTAAATATCATATGTATAAAGATAAATACCAAGCTCCTTATATGGTTTTAAACTTCAAGAGAATCCCAGAGAGTGGCACATCTGTTTACAGAGTAATCTATTTAATATTAAAACAGTATTGGCTATTAGCAGTGGCTCTGAAATTGTCACTATCCTCATTAATTAAATTGACTGAGACTCTTCACCCTGTGGAGATAACTTACTGTTTGATTTCTTGTTTGTACATAAATACATGGGTGTTATTAAACAGCTAAGAATATCAGGATAATGAAAAAGGAAGATCTTTTCATTGTAAGTTGCTGTGTCACTCCCACCAAACATGTTCAAGGTTGGAGTGTTATTCTTTCCACATGCCTTTAATTCTTATTGGAGCCAATGTGTGAACTTCACTTGTTCCATGTTATTTATCATTAGGGTCTTCCTCCTGATTAAGTCTTCATTATATATACACAGGATAAATAAAGTCACTATCATACAAAACTACAGGAGCAGTAAGGAAAGTAGCAGACAGCTTAACTTGTAACTAGTTGCTGATTTACTTCGACCGCCTCATTCAGAATTTAAATTATTTTAAAGTATCTTATGAATACATCAAAATTTAACCTTGACTCTCAGAGAATAAGAAGTTGAGAGCAGGAATTCAAAATTCACTTTCTAGTTCTGTGGCTCATTTGCTGTAAAGTGCAGAAGAAAATGATCCCACCCATTTAAAATCATGACTAAGAAGCCAAATTAGAAGTAAGGCCAGTTCAGTTCTTTAGGTGAGTCCATGACTCAAATGATGATGTATCAAACATTATCATGTCCCCTAAAATCTTCCTAACTATAAAGATGCAAGTCACTGAAACTTTATTCACAGAATATTATAATTGTAATAAGTAATGAGCTCTTTAAAGTTCTTGTATTTCTAAAAATGATTAATTTGATAGTAGTATACTATGGATAGACTATTGGCCACCACTGAATTATTTAGTCTCTACCTATGACATTGTCTCAGAACAGGGAGAAAATTTAACAGCTTGTGTTCTACTATTAAAAATTTTAGATGATCACTCCAGGGTAATTTTGCAACCTGTTGAGGATGATCCTTCTTCAGATTACATTAATGCCAACTATATCGATGTAAGTATGTTTATAGTTCAGTATGTCCATTTTATTGGCTTATATATATGAACTTTTTTGCTTGCTGTTACCTATAAAGTGATTGCTAGCTTTTTAAAATAAAGAACAAACTGTACACTTTTCCTTGTTCTACGTCCTAGTACTTACTGACGTTGTTGTGCTTTCTTTCACACCTGACTTTGGTTTGGGCTGTAGATTTGGCTGTACAGGGATGTAAGTATCACTATATGTAAATAACAGCACCCTATTATAAATATTTAATATAAATATTCTTAATTGCAGTTATTACTAATGCTTACTACTAGTTATCTCTGCATGCTTCACCTAATTAGCTTCATACAGTATATCTATGTTCATTTTTTTGTAATTCTTTTACATGTGTGAAGATCTATTTTACCTCCTTCCCTTTTCTTGTTGAGACAAACAGGATCATTTTTAGCTTTGACAATTTATTATGTACTCGAGTTTTATTTGTTGATGATTTCTGTTTCTGGCTTTTATTCTTACCCTTCCCCAAACATATGTGAGAAGCTGGATAGTATGATGTGTATTAGTGTTGCTGAAATTTTCCTTTTTACATTTGACTCGTGATGTTAAAAATGAGTAGGGAGACTATTTTGCAGTGTGTGGTATTGGCTTGTAAAGTAATAAAATTACTCAGGCAAAATAATTACTGAATTACAATTATAAAATATCCATATCACACATATATATCGAATCACACAAATGAAAAAGTTTGTTCTGATCATACATTCCACTGTTAAATTTTGGTTACATACATATCTATGTGCAAATTCTTTATATAAGGGAAAGTAATTATCAAATAAAATACAAAATACTTTATAGGAGTTAAGGAGGCAATTATAATACATGCAAGGAAGACAGGCTATTTGATCATACTACCTGGTTCAAAATCACACTGGAGATCTTGGGAATGTTACTTCTTGCTGTGTGCCTGTTTCCTCATCTTTACAGTGGAGACAATAATAATAGTACTAACCTATCACTTTGTGAAAATTAAATGAAGTAATGCATGTTGAGCATTTAGCCCAATGCTTAGTACATATTTAGCACTCATTAAACTTCACCTATTTTTTTAACAGTTAAAATTTAGGTGTGCTGAAATTAATCAATTCAAAATACACATAATTATAAGAAAAAAGGTAGAAGTATTAAGTATTGCATATATATAGACATTTATATACTTAAAAGAAATGAAACTTAGGACCCAACTTTTTCTAATTTCCATAAATAGGAAATAATTTTTATCACATCTCTTAGGTTCATGGTTTATAGTTAGTTTATGAATTTTAATTATTTAGTTGAATTAATGTATTTTATTAAGTATAGCATATGAGTGTATTGGTTAAATTTGTGATTATAATCTTTCTGTCATTCGGTATTTAAATTTATCAGACATGTCATCATGGAAAACTAAGTTGATGGTCTACCTTTAAAATAAAAAAAATCAGCAATTCTCCGACAAATTTGTAATTGTTCTTACATATTTAGTTCGACCTTGGTTTTCTGCCAAGACATGTACACTGGAGGCTTGTTATACTACTTTATAGTTTATACAGTATACAGCAGGAGTATTCTAAATAAGACTTGTTTTCCAGTCTTTTTCTTAAGACCCCAGTGTGTTTTGGCTGATTACTACATATAGTTTCATAATTTTCCCTTTCCCATTATTTTATTATTCTTAAAAGACATAAGTATTTAATTCTGTAATAGTTATATTTTCATTAAGAACAGATGAAAATGCTCATAAAGCTTGGAAAAAATTTTTCCATAAAACATTATACTTACTATGTTGATATATTAAGAAATAGAAATCTTCCAAATTTACAACAGCATAATGCTCACTCTATGAAATTTTAGGTTGGAGATCTCAGTTCACATGCATTTATATGTGTGTTGAGTTGCCCTCACCAAAATATGGACAAATTATACCACAGACTTAAAGCCCTTTGGTAAATACACAACAAATTCAAAACTTAACCCTGTGATATCATCAACATTTTTACAACTCATGGTCTGTTGCAATTCAAATCAATTGAGAGCAACTAACAATTTATTCCTCATGAAGAATCATTTTTTTATTGAAACTTTTGGCACACTGGGGGAACAAAAGTACTAAACTTTTGTTCAGGATAAGATGCCTTTTTAAAAACTCTTCTTTCCCTATATATGTGTGTACCTATAATTATGTGTGTGTAAATTAACATTAACACACACAAAATAGTTTTTGCAGATTCCTGAACATATTACAGAACAGGAATATTCTCTAAAAATCTCAGCAGGACTTTGATTTGATGCACACATGCATTGTCCAGCTCTAACATTGGAATGTTCTGTTATTTTTTTTTATGGTTCTAATATGTCCTCGTCCATTTGTAATGCAGTGTGTTGTACTTTTGAATGATAAAATGAGAATTAATATTTTTAAACACAGTTTTTACTAGGAATAAATGACTAAAGATTAACATGAAGGCATAAACACTTTAGTGAAATCAAACAAAATCAATGAGGTTATTCCATAGCAAACCAAACTCAATTATACAGCATATATTCTAATGAGAGCCTTTAAATATATAATTTTTGTTTTATGTTTACCTTTCAGATAACATAGGTTTGAGAAGTGAACTATGTGTTCACTACTCATTTCTGGACTTTTTACTATAACTTAATCTTAACAGGTGGTTGTCTTCATCTTTTTATGCCTTCATTCATTTATTTCTGATACTGATGTAAAATGATAACCAATTTGTTCTCCTGTTTTAGGGCTACCAGAGACCAAGTCACTACATTGCAACTCAAGGTAAAACTTTGCCTGTTAAGTGTTATAGAACAAACAAACTTGCTTATTCATCCATATGATGTTTTTGCAATTTTATCTTAATTAACTGGAAAAAAAATCAGCTCTTCTAACACTTGCTCTTTACTCATTTGTATAGTATAATTTTTTTAAAATCTATGTAAGACTTAGAGAAATTTAAGCTTGATTTATTTTTTAATTAAAAGTAAAGGAGAAGCTGCTGGTAGTTTTTGTGATTTGGTCCTTGTTATCCAGATATCTCAGAGCCTTCGTCAATAATAGTGGGCAGAGGAATTACTCAGTTTTGATGAAAGAGAATAGAGGCTTGATCTTGTATAAGGTACCTGTCTTCTTGCAGCATAGTTTAATAGTACCCAAGACCAATATTGTTATAATGAGATGTTATACTGTCTTCCAATAATTTTTTGACAAGTAAATACTGAGACAAAGCAAAGAGCTACAGGGAATTTAGTCAGGTTCATTCTTCATGGAATATAAAAAGAAAGTAGGAAAATCTTGTTATAGTGGTACACTGGGGAATAAGGTATCCAAACAAAATTTACCATCTTGAGCAATTTCTCCAAATTTACTGCTGGCCTTCAGAAGACAAACTTGCACATCCGTTTTATATAAGAGAAAAGTAAAACAAAAGCTATATTTGCTCTTTAGACAGAGGTCATTTTTGTTTTCACATATCTTTGGAGAAATTGAGTTTAATTGTAGACTCTTTAGAGTTAGAAAGACCAGCTATAGTGGTGAACAGTATTCTGGTTTTATGGTATTGAATAGAGAGTATAGTCCAGCACGTGCTTCTGCGGTTTGGAGATGATAATATATGACGTTAGGATGTGTCCCTATATGTAAGGATACTTCTTCATTAACCCCTAACTAAACATGTGCTACTTATAAATGATGGGCATTTATGTAATTGGTAATATATGCTGTTTGTTTGATGGTGGCATAAGAGTTCCTATTTTTCACATATATTTGAAGAAACATTAAAGTGCCTTAGTGACAGACATAAATACCGCCTAGTGCTACCATCTTCTGAATTGGCGAAGGTACAGAAGGCAAATTGGGAGGAAAAAAATCACAAATGCTTATGTTTTGCCTATAGTGTAAATTTAGATAGGAACTGAAGTTAAGTACTTTTGGTGACATTTTGTGTTAGACTTTTAATTATATTTTTGTCTTATTTTGTTTATTCTGCCTTTTATCTTAATTAAACTCCTTCCAAACTACAAAATCCCTTTGATAATATAATATTGAAATTAATTTCTTCATAGGCCCAGTTCATGAAACAGTATATGATTTCTGGAGAATGATCTGGCAAGAACAGTCTGCCTGCATTGTGATGGTTACAAATTTAGTTGAGGTTGGCCGGGTAAGAGAAAAAAAAAGATTTCTTTTGTTGTTGTCATAAGAATGAACATAGTTGTAAAGCAACATATAACCTACTTAAAATAGAATATCCAATTTTTTAAAAAAATTTATAGGCATAGCATTTCAATGGAATGCTACTACATGGACCTTCAATGGCTTAAAAATTATTTGATTTCTCATTGAGTAATAAAATAAGCTTTGATTTTATATGAGAATCTAATTGCATGATCAGGCTTGTATATTTTTTATGAGATCATACAAAGTCTATTTATTATGTAACAGATTTTTTTCTCATTTATAGATTTTTTAAATGTGTTTTAATTAGGACCTAAAGAGTTATCATAGGAATTAAATCATCTTGGCTAATATGTATTATATTCAGGTCTACTAATGTATTCTTCTTGTCATTTAGGTTAAATGCTATAAATATTGGCCTGATGATACAGAAGTTTATGGTGACTTCAAAGTAACTTGCGTAGAAATGGAGCCACTTGCTGAATATGTTGTTAGGACATTTACCCTGGAAAGGGTAAGTATACTAAAGTTCTTTTAAAAGAAAATGTACATCAAAACTGCTCGGTCTCTTTAAATCCTTGTCAAGTTTTGTTTTTATGATGCTATAAAATCTGTTCACACATTTATTCCTTCCAAAAATATTTGAGAGTTTACCATGTGCCAGGCCTGTTTCTAAACCTTGGGACACGGGTAAAAATCTCTATCCTTGTAGATCGCATAACCTATTGAGGGAAGATGGCACTGCAAATGAATAAGCTAATACACCCTGTATCATGAAAAGTGCTATGGAGAAGAATAATGTTGGGACTGGAAATAGGGAATATTATTGATGTAGGGGAAGCAATGGTTTATAATTGTAAAAGGATGATCAGAGAAGGACTTGTTCTTGAGAAAGCAACATGAGTAAAGACCTGAAGTAGGTGAAGGAGAAGGAGTGATGGGTTATGTCTGAGGGAAGAATGTTTCCAACAGAGGTAAGAGTCATTTCAGAGGCCCAGAGACCTATGTATATTCCTGTAGGAAAGACAACCAGCCAAGAGGCCAGGGTGTTCAGAGATGGATAAGTGAGTGGGAAAGACATACAAAATGAAGTGAGAGAAATCAGAGCCAGATAAGTGGTCTTTTAGGCCATTATGATGACCCTAATTTGTATTTAAAGTGAGTTAGGCAGCCATTGGAGGGTTTTGAGCCTAGAGGTAACATGATCTGACTTTTGTTTTTAAGAGGATCACTCCAGTTATTATGTTGCAGAAAGACTAAAGCAGAGTTGGTGATGTAGTAGACTGAAGTGGAACATAGTCGCAATGAAATACATTGTTGTGGAAAGGCTTAATAGATTTGACCACATGAAAGAGTGTAAAATTATCTGTGTCAAAAAAAAAATTTTTAAGGTACATACACACAAAAGAAACCTGTCATTATTTATCAATCCTTAATTCATAGTGTTAATACCAATAGAAAGAAAGGAAAACACTAGAGTCTCTGAAGAAACACAACTGCTAATGTACCTGTTTAAAATGTTTAACCTCATGTACTGATATACCATTTTGTGCTTTCAAATCAGCAAGAACTTTAAAAAGAATAACAATCCTCATTGATTGTCCGAGTGTGTCGAGACAGATATTTTCATCCATTGCTGATCATAGTTAAATGGCTATAAACCCTCTGTAAATCAATAAAACAGTGTATCTCCATAGCTTTAAAGTATTTATGTCTTTTGAGAAGTTTACTTTCATGAATCCATCCTAAGGAATTTACTTAAAATACAATGGCTTCATTTATAATATTAGAAAATTACAGATAACTGTAATTATACAACATGAGTATCACAACTATAAAATATATATGAAAATTTCTTAGACAAATCAAGTAGAATAAAAATAAGCAATGATATAGATTTCAAAAAGAGAACCATTAAGCTTGATTTAATAAACTAGATCCTATAATTATATAAAGAGAAAATGTAGACTATTCAGTCTCTTGAGTTTATGCCATCTTATGAAATCAGTCATGGAACTGAATACACAGAAAAAAAGTTGAGGTGTTTCCAAAATCCAGTAGAAAACAACAACAAATCACTGACCAATTACCCCACAAATTAGCCTCTCAGAAATCACCAAATCCTCTTCTGAGTAAACATTAAATGAATGATTACCTCAAAACTAAAATTAATACATAGATCAATAATTTTATATCAAAATTTACCTCGTTATCCACTAAGAAAAATATATCCCCATAAATGATTTCTGTTTTGAAAGGCTGTCTGAAATCATGTGAAAATTGTAAAATTAGGAAATAGGAAAAATACTAGTAAACTAGAACAAAGGAAAAATTAAATATAAAAAACAAACACAAACAAAAAAATCAAAAAGCTAGTTCTTTGAAAAGATCAGTAAAGTAACATTGTCAATTCTAAATGAGGTAAAATGAAAACAAAATTTACAATATTAGAAAACACAGAGATATAACAGCAGTTATACTTGCTATTAGAAAAATTATAAAAAATATTATGTACAAACTTAGAAACATAGATTTTAGTCTAGAGACACTGATTTTCTAGCAAATAATAATTCTCAAAAATTGGACCAAGAAGAGTTGGAAACCTGAACAGATAACAGAAGAAAATAGAATGATCATTAAAATTTACCATTAAAATTGCACTATGGTGTCCCTGACGATTAGAGATGTTGAGCATTTTTTCACGTTTGTTGCCATTAGTCTGTCTTCTTTTGAAACGTTTCTGTTCATGTCCTTTGCCCACTTTTAATGGGGTCATTTGATTTTTTTCTTGCTGATTTTCCTGAGTTCCATATAGATTCTAGTTATCAGCCCTTTATTGGATGTGTGCACTCGAATGTTTATAGCAGCACAATTCACAATTGCAACGATGTGGAGACAACCCAAGTGCCCATCAACACATGAGTGGATTAATAAAACGTGGTATATGTATACCTTGGAGTTCTGCTCAGCCACAAAAACGATGGTGATCTAGCACCTCTTGTGTTATCCTGGATAGAGCTGGAGCCCATTCTACTAAGTGAAGTATCACAAGAATGGAAAAACAAGCACCACATGTACTCACCATCAAATTGGTATTAACTGATCCACACTTAAGTGCACATATAGTAGTAACACTGTCGGGTGTTGGGCAGGTGGGAGTAGGGAGGAGGGGATGGGTATATTCACACCTAATGGATGCGGTGCACGCCGACTGAGGGATGGACATGCTTGAAGCTTTGACCCAGGTGGGACAAAGGCAATATATGTAACCTGAACATTTTTCATTCATATCCCTGCAATATGCTGAAATAAAAAAATTAAACATTAAAAAATTGCACCATGGTTGATGTTTCTTTATCCTTTAAAGCTGCAGTCCCCAACCAACCGGGCTGAAGAGCTCTGCCTCCGTCCCCCACTTCCCAACCCTGAGGGAAAATTATCTTTCATGAAACTTAGGAATTGGGTCACACAGCTGCTCCCCATCCCTCTTATCACTGCCTGAGCTTTCCTCCCCCCACCCCCAGCCCTCCCCCCGTGGAAAATTATTTTCCAGGAAAGTAATCCCTAGTGCCAAAAAGGTTGGGGACCGCTGCTTTAAAGAATAGATTATGTTATTCAAACTATTTAGGTCATAGAAAACCATTAAAACCAACAATTGAAGAAACCATTCAAAATAAAAGATTGAAAATTTGAATCTAGTAGTCAACTAAGAAAATATCACAACATGATCTATTATGATTTTTTTCCTAACATTGCAAGAATGTTTCAACTGTAGTGGGAAACCTAGTGGGATATTTCATTGTCACTACATGAAAGGAGCAGAACCATATGATTTTATTAATAGATCAGTGCATTTAATTTTATTGAAAAGATCTTCATAGCAATACTCTAATTAGGAAAATGAGGAGACTTTCTAAATGTGGTAAAGGTGATTTAACAGTAATTAGTAGCATGCATGTTAAGGAATAAAAAACTGAAGACTATCAGTTTATTATAATAAACTAATATAAACACTGTTATTGCTTTTAGAATCAGGAATGTAATGTGGATAATCATTTTCAAGATAGTAGTCAACATTTTTGGAAGTTTCAGCAAATGAAAGGAGACAAAAGAAATAAACTATGTAACTATTAGAAAAGACAATTATTTAAAGATGAAATGATTTTATGTAAAGAAAACTGCAGATAATATTTTTAAATAGAACTAATAAACATTTGTGACTAATTCAACATAAATATTCATAAATTATAGCTTTTCTCTACATTAGCAATAAATAAAAATAGATGTTAAAAAATCTTTCACAATAACAAAAAATGCCCAAATAACAGAGTATATTTAACAAGAAAGATATAGGTCCTAATTGAATAAGAACACAAAAGTGTATTGAAAGACATAAAGTGATTTGAATGGAGATATGCACCATTTCCCAGAATATGGGAGAACTTGCTATTAATATCACTATATGGATTTAATACAATCCTAATTGGAGCATCATTGAATTTTAATTTTGCTCTTTTTATTTAGAACTAGAAAAGAGTGGGATTTGAGTGTTTTTTTAACCACATATATGAAAATTATTCCAAAAAATTTATAGAAAAAGAACGATAGGGAAAGAGGTACTACCAGATATGAAAATTTACTAAAAGGAGCAAGTACTGTACATGTAATAGAAGGATAAAGAAAGCAAGTCCAATATAGCAACTCTAGTAAAAGTATTAATAGACAAGTGAAGTTATTGACTAAAATCAAGTCTTAAATCAATTTATGACCTTCCTCATGAAAGCTGACTTTAAAAGTGGCAGAAAAGGTGACTTTTCCATTTGGGTGATTTCATGATGGTGTTTATCATTGTAACTATTATTTGTTGAGCTCTGCTTTGTGTGGTGTATTGTGCCAGGAACTGGAACTAAAAAGAATTAATTATAAGACATGATCACTGGCTTCGAAGGTTTTGGTAATATTGGTCTGCATAAGATAGATTCTAAAGATAAACTTTCTCAATTTTGTTTATTTATTTCATGATAAGTTTCTACCTTTTCTGATTGAACAAGCAAGGTTGAGGTTTCACAGATGGCTCACAGTAGAGATAGAACTATATAGATTATAGTAGGTTTTTTTTCCTTTTTGCTACAAATGTGAATTCTTAAAAATATATTCTGTAATATTTCATGTATGCCAAGCTGTGCTACCCCAATCTATAGGCTTCTTTTAGAAAAAAGGCAGGAGAAAGCTTTGAAATGTGCATTTGTAGGGTTCTCTTAAATTAACCCAATAGGAGAGGAGCACGACAATGAGTGCTTCACTTCTTTCAGTTTGTATTTTTGTTACTATAAATACTCCGTGTGCCGAATTATTGCACAGAGCTAAGAAAAATAGTTTGCCCAAAGAACAGTTTAGCTGCCTGTATTTTTCCACAAACCAAACTAGAGTAGCACTGTCCTGGAAAATCCCTACATGCTCTGCTTCAAAACCATTTTCAACATGGATAAGCAAGGCATTAAAAATCTCTTTGTGAGGTGAGAAGCTGGAAAGTTGCTTTTATATACCGCTTGAGAACTCGGTGCCTTGGGTCAATAGGGCAGCATTTTAGCTTTCCCATTTTCTTCTTTCCCCCTCATAATTTTATGGGTTGTCATTCCCAGTAAGAAACAAGCTGTCAAGGTAAATAAAATTTACCCAGACTTAAAGAACTCAGCAAGACTTCTAATTTTCTTTCTTTGGCAGCTGTCTGACAATAAAGGTAAGCTCCTAAAGCCATGTTAGGCCAGCGTCCCTTTTTAGAAAAGGTATGATCTTTGGTACACTTTTTTATTGTTATCATTGCTGATTGCATCTCTACTTATAATTGTGTTTAATGGCTTTATTTTGGTTCTTTTGAAAACACTTCTTACCATCTTTGCACAGAGGGGATACAGTGAAATCCGTGAAGTTAAACAGTTCCATTTTACGGGCTGGCCTGACCATGGAGTGCCGTACCATGCCACGGGGCTGCTTTCCTTCATCCGGCGAGTCAAGTTATCCAACCCTCCCAGTGCCGGCCCCATCGTTGTGCATTGCAGGTGAGTGGTGGTCCAAATGGCGTTGACTATATGCAGTCAGCTCTTTTTGGAGTATCAAGATAAGACGTTTAAGCACAAAAACTAATGTGTGCTTACAGAGTTCCAGCTTGCATGTATTATAGATAAAACAGCCATAAAATAAAAGTTAGCTGTTCAGTAGGCTGTAAACTAGAAACTTAAGAAATACATACATTCAACCTAATGTGTGTAGTGTTATCCACAATTACAAATGTAGAAACTCTGCCTTTTAGTGGCAACAGCTGTGGTTTTTGGGTTTTTCTTGTCACTTTTGCAAATCCCATATTGTATAGAATGGTACATTGAAATAGAAATTTCTTGCCAATCTAGAAAATTCCCAATGGAATCCCAGCTTTTAAAACTAAATTTGAGACATACAGAATTACTAAATGGCCTAAATTGCAAGAATTTGTGTTGCAAAACAGCTATTTAGATTTTTTTTTTTTTTTTAAAAAGAAAGTCCCATTAGAGGACCTTGAAAACTGCATCAGCAAATATATGGCAAAAACATGAACATTATATCCAGACTTTGGTCTGATTAGAAACTTCTTTTAAAACAAGCATTCAGAGACACTAAAAGCAAATTATATGGCCTCGTTTTGAGGTGTGACCAGAAAAATAAGTACTGAATCTGAAACGCTTTCTCTAAATGATGCTACACACCCTTTTCAAATACTATCCCCTCCAAGCTACATAATAAGTAAAACCTATTTTGTTCTTTCTGAAAATCCAACCTATTCAGGATTTAAATAACCATGTGTAAAAGGGGAAAAAAAAAAACAAACAGAGAATGAAATAAAGGTAAGACATCCCATAAGATCAGACACTATGTACCCTGAAAAAAAAAAAACAAAACCCTTCATTTCAATCCTCCTCAAGACATCTGATATACTCTTCAATTACTTTTTTGTCTCAAACCCTGGGAACAGTGATTGAGAAGATGGTAGGGGAAAGAAGAAATAGAGATAACTGCAATATCTCTTGCTTCAATTTCTAAAAGAACAGTGAGTTTAAGAGAAGTGACCAAATCTGGATAACAAAGAAATAATGTCACTAGCCCATCTAAGTGTTTAGAAAATGAGATAAATAGGTTTTCAATTTAAGGATTTGTTGATTTATCATAGAGGTTTACTTTCTTATGAATTGCTTGCTTCAGAAGTGCTCCAAGATTCTCAGATACTCTCTTGAAATAGAAGTGTCATTTTCCACTTACACTCAGGTATCTCTGTATTTATGGAAAAGAAGCAGCTGACTACAAAGTAAATTTCAAAAAAAAAAGTTATCATGTTTGCTCCATTGACCTTCTATATTTAAAATTGAAGAAACAGTCCCCAGTGGTAAAAATAATCACAGTATATTATGATTTAACTTTTGAATTAAATACAGTAAGATAGTGGCTAGCTTGGTGTCTTGCTGAAAATCACATTCTACTCACAATTCATTTTCATTTTCCCTTCAGATCATGACTCCAACAGTCTTTATACTATTGGTCTCCTCCCCTTTCATAACCATCATTCTCTTTCCCACCCTCACCATTAGCATTTCCCGTGAATTGTGGCTCCTCAGATTTCCTATTTAAAGGTTTTGGAGTTAGTTTTCTTTTGCCTTGGTATTTACAGGTGTCTCTCTAAGGGACAGTGCCAGTATTCTCGCATTGTTGCCAAAGGACCCACAACTACATGAATATAAAAATATTTCAGCTGGGAGTTAAATTTCAAAGCATGAATCCACCACTTGATGAATTGTATGAGATTGAAATTATGTGTATTAAATTTATATCACATGAAGCCTGTGAGAGAGAGATGAAACTTGAATGACATATATACGTTATTTTGAATTTGTAAATAATTTGGAATTCTTGTTCCAATCTTTAGTTTACACCAAAGCAGATACTCCACATGAAGTTATTTGTACATTAATAAGTTTTTACACAGCACGTAAAAATTATATGTGTCCTGCACTTTGGTAAATCAATTTGATTCTACCTGACAGTGGAAAAGGTCTTTATTAAACATATAAAGACAAACATGCTTCTTATAGTTCTTAAAATTTAATTTTTTTCAGTGCTGGTGCTGGACGAACGGGCTGTTACATTGTGATTGACATCATGCTGGACATGGCTGAAAGAGAAGGTGTTGTTGACATCTACAACTGTGTCAAAGCCTTAAGATCTCGTCGTATCAATATGGTCCAGACAGAAGTATGTTAATTTACCTCTAGTGCACTTTTGTTGTTTTTGCAAAAAACAAGAGAGTTGTTTTTCATATATAATCAATATTAGCTTATTAAGTCATATACAAAAATACTGCTATTTCAATTAATATTTCCATATAGAGAAAATTCTCTGTATTCGCTACCTTCGATGATAGAAAAGTTTTATTAAAATGTTTTGAAATTTTCTTTTTCTTTCTTTTGATAGGAACAGTACATTTTTATTCATGATGCAATTTTAGAAGCCTGCTTATGTGGAGAAACTGCTATACCTGTCTGTGAATTTAAAGCTGCGTATTTTGATATGATTAGAATAGACTCCCAGACTAACTCTTCACATCTCAAAGATGAATTTCAGGTATTAGCTATTTCTAAGGCCTCTTCTATGACTTATTACAAGGCACTACTAATTCTTTAAAGGAAGGTCTTTCAAGTCAAATTTATAACCTTTGACCCATTTTAAGTATAATATAATCCCTGTCTCTTTCATTATACATATTATGGAGTCACTTTTGTATTAATGAGCTCATATCTGCTGTATCCTGAAGGGCAAATAAGTTCAGACTCAGGAAAGAATATTGGTAGAAGGTATCATAAAAGTCAAATTCGGTGGTGATTTGTGTGTATTTATAACCTTTTTTTTTCCATGCAGTCTTATGGATTTTGACCTTCTGTGTCACTTACAGTGTGAGATCAAACACATTAATAGTAATAGCTGAAGTTTGTACTAGACATTGTCTCGAAATAGTCCTAAACGTTTTCGCTGCCCTTAAAATATCCTGAAGGTGGGTGAAAATGAAGTCAAAGGTAGCTCTAGAAACCGAATTCTTTGATTCTTGGTCCAGTGCTCTTTTCAGCATGCCACAGCTTATCTTCAAGTATGGCATGCCAGAACACAAGTATAAATGATATGATTTCCAGCATTGATGAAGAGTCGTCATCATCATAGATGTACTTGATTGTATTTGTTTTGATTGGGCAATGCATTTTGCAGGTAGCTGTGTTGTTTAGCCTCCCTGTTCCCTTTAAGAAGAGGCACACTGAATGATGTGTGTCTTGTTCCTTTGTCACTTCTCAGGCTTCATTAGCTTTAACTACAAAGTCTATCAGCCTGTTGCAGTGGCAAATGCCATTGCCTTGCACAAATCCTTGACTTTCTACTTGGCCTCCTAAATACTTGATAGGTCTATGTTATACTATTAAATGGATCACTTTTTTTTAACCTGGGTTCCCTTTTCTTTTTAGACTCTGAATTCAGTCACCCCTCGACTACAAGCTGAAGATTGCAGTATAGCGTGCCTGCCAAGGAACCATGACAAGAACCGTTTCATGGACATGCTGCCACCTGACAGATGTCTGCCTTTTTTAATTACAATTGATGGGGAGAGCAGTAACTACATCAATGCTGCTCTTATGGATGTAAGAGACTGCCCTCTTTGTTGGTGCAGAGTGCCATGAAAAGCTATGTAATGCAATTGGATACTGGATAGTTTTCTTTTCTGGCCTAAAGAGGAAAATTGGAAACTTTCATTGAAGTACAAATTTTTCTGGAGAATGATTTTAGATTTCCCCACAGGGATTCTTGCGAACGATTGATTAGTTTTTAAAGCATAATTGTAGAATTGGAACTCGATTGTAAATCACTATATTCATATAGGACATAACTGCAGGTTTCATTTCTCATCTTAATTATTTTCAGAAAAGAAAATCATGGTTTATCCATTTTGAATATAGTTAGGAATGAATTTTTTAAATCACAGAATGCCATATCTTACTAAAGTTGTGTTCATTTGGGAAATTTTTATCTGTGACATTTAATGTTTCAAAAATTTGAAGCTAACTTGTTTTATTGGCCATTAATTAATAAAGACTACTTATAACTAACTAGGGAAGGCATGGATGATACCATGTCAACACATCCATCATAGCAAGAGAACTACCTTGCCTTATTCCAATCTTCATAAACTATAGATGCCCAGCATGTACTTAATGTGTTAATAGCCTGTAGACAGAACAACATGGAAAGAGAATTTTAAATTATGTCTTTGGCCACTACCTTGGTTGCCTTGGGAAGAAGAAGAGGGCTATCAAAGTTTTCTTTTAAACAATTTGCTGCCTTCATATCTAGCTTTTGCCCTTTCACAGTTGAAGCCACAGCAAGGAGAAATTAGAAACCAGGGTTCATTCCTTTCTGACTATAATGAGACTTTCTAAGTTGTTGCTTCTATTGTGCTTCCTAAAATTACCTTCTGTAAATTAGTAGCCTGGTAGTAGAGACTTAGAAAAGCCCACATTCTGCTTCTGAGACTAGTCTTAGCCAATCCCTTTGCCCTTTTTGGCACTGCAGAGCAGAATAGTGCAAAGGCAAACTCAAATGAAAAGCTCTCATCCTTGCTGTGACCAGAGTCTTGCCTGGCCATTAATCACATCTGCAGAAGTCACATTGGATCTCAGTTATACCTTTCCTTCCCCTACTAGGTGTCTGAAAAGGCCAATGTACCAAATACAGGGACAATATGTCAGACTTGAGTCTAGATTGGAAATGAAAAACAATGTGTGAAAACAGAAAAGAGAAAATAATAATATTATGAAAAGTATTGATACCTTTGAATTTATTGTCTTTGGCATGTTTGGCAAATTTTCTGCAATTTTCAGGTTGTCTTCTTTTCAATATGAAGGTTGAACCTCGTAATCTGCCTGTTCCTACTCTCTGCTGAATCCCCTATGATTCAAAAAAGATGTATTTCATAGTCAAAGGTGTTCTGTGGATTTAGTAGTGGAGTTGAGCCTTCAGAGGAGTAAGGTTGGGTTAGGTTTACAGGAAGAGGGATTATCACTCAACACTCCCTCCTTCCCCGCCTACCCTTTACCCCCATCATTAGTAGTACATTCCTTTGCCAGGCCTATAAAGAATTAGGAGGCGGTAAAGCCAAAGATTCCGTGATTTCAAAGCCTTACGTATGCTCCTGCATTTAGAAAGGAAAGAAATAAGAAATTCCAGTCTTCTCCTTTATCACCTCCTCCTGATGCATTTCCCCTCCTCTGTGACTCAAAAAAAATGAATTCCTGCTCTGACTTATCTTCCCATGAACTAGACATTTAACTGGAAGGAAAGCTTACTTCCTTCTATGCCTTTCTCATGAGGCTTCATACCTTTCTTAGGAGGCATTCACCGCAGCTTCAGGTATAACTTATAAAGTTTCGAGCTCATTGAGAAGTAGCCAGGTCAATTACCATCTACTCAGATTTATTCTGCAGTCTTCCATGGAATGGAATATCATGGTTATTCACATTTCCCAAATGGTGGTTGCATCAGTAAAGTCCAAGGATCAGTTCCACATTGATGTTCAGACATTTGAAGGAATTAATAGTAGTGTGACACAAATGAGTTATGAGATTACTGACAATTTTTGTCAGCATTAAGGAAATCTATCTTAGGAAACTGTACTTTTTTTTTTGTACAAATAATTAGATTAAATCATTACATAGAAACATACATTGCTACGTCAGTATAGATCGTCAATCTGCAGACTGACAGATTGCCCAGGCAAGATAAACATTACCTTTACTACCCCTTCCTATGGAAAGAGACAATATGTTATGTCCTAATCAAGGGGAGCCTGACAAACAAAAAGCCATCTCCCCACTTATGTGGGGCCAAGTTACTCTTTGCACTTGAGAATCTTAAATGATTGAAACTGTCATGCTGACAGTTGATACGCATTAGAAATGCTCAGGAAACCATAGGAAGCGGATTGTGCCCTAACAGATGTACAGAATGTGCTGATGATATCCGTATAATATAAAAGCACAGGAGTTTGAGGTACTTGTGGTTTTTCATATTTGGAGTGGAGGAGGGTCAAACTGTTTTACTTACACACACTCACATACACACAGATGATTGATTAATAGAGAGACATACCAGAGGTTTTGTGCTTGCTTTGCCTTCAGCCTCTCAGAGACTGATTACATTTGGAAAATTGACATAGCCTATCAGGTACCTAACAGAGGATCTTAACCTTGAAGTTCTTTAGTTTCTTCTTTTATATCTGACCTGTATTCACTTCTCTCAATGAAGTCAAAATTCAATTCTTGACTTGAATTGCTTTGGAGGCATTGAAATCTGCCCACCAAATTGACTCATTACTGTACTAGTTCCAGGATACTCCAGAGATCCACATCTTTTATTCCATGGCTTAGCAGCCATCTGGCTACATCTCTATGTGAATTTATTACATCTTACTGGTCCTACACTGAAGTATATTGAATCTGTTTGTACAACTGATCATGCATTTTAAGTTCTTATGTTTCTTTCTCTACATTGTTTCTTTACAGAGCTACAGACAACCAGCTGCTTTCATCGTCACCCAATACCCTCTGCCAAACACTGTGAAAGACTTCTGGAGATTAGTGTATGATTATGGCTGTACCTCCATTGTGATGCTAAATGAAGTCGACTTGTCCCAGGTTGATGACTATGGTTTGCTTTTGTGTACTTGTACACACTTAATAAAGTAGTAATAAAATGCTAAAGTCTGCTTTATGCTACCCCAGTTAGAAAAAATAATGCTCATTTCTTTTTCTCTCAAAACACTCATCATCTAGGGCTGCCCTCAGTACTGGCCAGAAGAAGGGATGCTACGATACGGCCCTATCCAAGTGGAATGTATGTCTTGTTCAATGGATTGTGATGTGATCAACCGGATTTTTAGGATATGCAACCTAACAAGAGTAAGTCATGGTCGGATCATTCTAACTCTAAATGAGCTAATCCAGAACAAGTAGATCATAACCATTAGGGGATATAATTCCATTCAGACAACAGGGATAGTAGAATTATTTAATAAGAAGCACTACACAATTCATCCCAAAGCTAATAATCATCTTACAGCTTAGTACTAGAATAAAAATGCACTCCAAATACAGGAAAGTAGAAATGTTAGGAGCTAGGTTTTCTGGTCAGTTACTAGACTGACACATTCCATCTGGAAATCTAGACTCAGATGTACTGGCTCAATCAAGTTTGACAGTCTGGGCCTCGACCCTGAGCATATGTGGACTTATCTTAAGGATGACTGCATGTTTTATTAGTATTGCCATCCAGCCCAAAAAGGCATGTGACTGAAAAATAAGAACATAATAATTATAGTGACAGAGGAGCTTTACCTCAGGAGGAAGGGACATGTTGGATCAGCCATTACGGGGGGGTGTTCCATGTCACTGTTCCAAGTCCTGTGTATAAGAGGCATGAAGGAAAAAGTAAATCACTTTTTTTTGGAGAATCACCATTATTGATTATCCTACCTACAATTTCATCTTCCTAAATGCCCCGACATCTGGTTCTGCCCAGGTCTAAAAGTAGAACCAGTGCTGCTACCACTGTGCCTTTTCCCAGCAGCAAAGTAGCAACTACTGCGTCCCTCAGAAGTCCTTTTTGCCCTGACTCTTCATGTGCTTTGCACGAAATGAAAAATTAAATTTGAGGGTCTCTCCTTCAAAAAAAAATAAAAAGTACTAATCAAAACTGTTTAGATTGTATAACCAAGTAGCAAACAGAATTCGAAAAGAAAACATTAGTAACTTTAATGGAACTAAGCTCTTTTTAAAGGGAAAGATTGTTCTGTTTTTTAAAGTACCAGCTCTATGTATGTGTATTATTTTAAGTATATGATTAGGGTTGTCAGGTTTCAGTGTTTTTCATATCAAAATGACTATATATGTGTCTGGTTAATAAGTCTATATGTATATGACTTTAAGCAGGGAATAAAATCATATCCAATTCGGTTGCTAATTTCAGTGGAGAAAAAAGGATAACTTCATGTCATAATACTCATGTATACGTTTGATGTTAATTTAAATGGAATCTCATTATGTCTGCACATCTGTCACTTTGTGGTTCTAGTAATATTTTAGTTGAGAAAGCGTAGCTGCCGAAGAGAGTATGGCTGGTCTGTTAATTGAGCTGTTTATATGGAAAATATTCTAGGAACAGGAACTGAAATCTGTTACCGTTTTTAGTCGGCATCTTTGTTTATTTGCTGAACTTCCTATTTGGTGTTCTGGTCCTTATTAGTGCATGATTTTTTTTCTGTTCCCCATCTCATTATTTAATATCATTTACTTCATCAAATATTTAATATGCACCAACAAGTTGGGTACAGTACTACGTAGGGCCTATATCCAACCAAAAGATGTATGAGCCCTTGCCATAGGGAGCTTCAGATTTGATGGATATGACCTCCTCCTGTATTACATTCTCTTCCTTATATTGTTATTTGAAGGTTTATGGTTTTGATTCATTCTTTCAACAATATTACCCTTTGGAAAGTATATACAAGGTTCTAGTAATACGGAGGTTAAAAAGAGATTTCCTTGTCCTTAAAGAATCTATATATTATCAGAAAGAAAAGCATTAAACAACTAATTGTAAAAATCATTTATTAAAATGATACATTTTATAAAGAAAAAGTAAAAGAATACAGAGTGTTTAACTGGGCAACCTGACATAGCTATGCAATCAGAGATGACTTCTTTGAGATATTTGTATTTAAGCCAAAACTTAAAGAATCAGGAGTTATTTGGGGGTGCAATAACCAACCATTCTGGTTTGCCCAGGACAGAGAGCTTTCTGAAGACATGCAAGTTGTAGGTGCTAAGACCAGAAAACACCCAGGCAAACCTGGGACAAGTTGGTCACTTTATTTGGGATTGGGAAGGGCAAGCAAGAAAGAAGCATTCAAGGCAAAGGGGACAGCATATGCAAAGTCCCCAAGGCAAGAAGTGACTTTGTAAATGGATTACAAGAAAGCCAAGGTAAGGCTGGGAAAGGAGGTGGAGATAGATCACAATCACTTAAGGATTTTTAAGTCATAACGCCAATTTGGATTTTGTGCTGGCATCACTCGGAAGCCATTAAGACGGAATGACAAGATCATATTTGCACTCCAAAATAATCATGATGCTTGTAGTTAGAAAGAACTGGAAGGAAGTCAAAGTTTATTCAGGGAGATCAACTAGGAGATAATTATCATAACTTGTCATTGGGACTGCAATGATGTCAATGGCAATAAAGAGAAGGAAATGAATTTGAAAGTTATTTAGGAAATATAGTCATAGGAATTGATTACTGGATATGGGATGTGAGAGAGAAGCAGATATAAAGGATGATTCCCGTGTTTCTTGCTGTCATCATTTAGAACGTTTTCATACTGGCATGTACATATTTAGGACTTACGTCAGCTAGACTCAATCCAGTGTAAAGTTCATTTGTATTGTGTATCATATGCATCTTTTACTTTTTAGTAAAAATTCTAGTCCCAACTTACTTACGTAGTAAAAACTCTTTTCCCTCTACAGCCCCAGGAAGGTTATCTGATGGTGCAGCAGTTTCAGTATCTCGGGTGGGCTTCTCATCGAGAAGTGCCTGGCTCCAAACGGTCATTTTTGAAACTGATACTGCAGGTGGAGAAATGGCAGGAGGAATGCGAGGAAGGGGAAGGCCGGACGATCATCCACTGCCTGTGAGTAGGACTGTTCAGCCTGGCCATTCCCTGGGCTGTGGTGCTTATTTTCTCAGTAGCCTTTGCATTTTCTGTATTAGAGAACTCCTATAGATGTTATTCTAAAACAGTCTTATGATTCTATAATTAACTACTAACTTCAATGTTTTATTTTTTCTAAATATTGATTGGTTATTATATGATTTAAACTCTTTTGAACACTGTCCCGAGCAACCTCGGACTTACACAGTTTACAACTATGTCAGAATCTTAAGGTATTTAGGTTGCAGCTATCTATGGCTATAGCATATTCCTAAGTGTAAGCTACTGAGCTGATCCCATCCTCACGTTTCCTCCTCTCTGCTCTGTACACATCCATGCACACTTATGAAGCAAATTTAAGACACAAATGGAAAACAATTTAAATTATGATGTTTTCTTTTCCCAAACATACACAATTGTGTGAGATATGGTCATCTGGCACTGCTAACTCAAATGCCTTTGCTTTCAGAAACGGTGGCGGGCGAAGCGGCATGTTTTGTGCTATAGGCATCGTTGTTGAAATGGTGAAACGGCAAAATGTCGTCGATGTTTTCCATGCGGTAAAGACACTAAGGAACAGCAAACCAAACATGGTGGAAGCCCCGGTGAGTCTAGGAGGGATCTTAGAGATTAGTCAGTCATAGATCTGCTTATTGACTGGACATCATATACACATAGGTAATCGGATGTGAAAATGAGTCATTGTAGGGACTTTCCTGTTGTTAGATTGCCTAGCATCCCCCTGTACCCATAGAAACTTAATCTCACAAAAATTGCTCATAATGAAAATAACTATTTTCATTTAATTTGGGAAATTTATAGGATTTTTTGCTATTTTAGCCAATAAATATTTGCTGCAATAAACTTTGGTGAATCATTCTATAATAAGAAATCCTGTTATCTAGGCTGTATTTTCATTTATTTTTATTTCTTAAAGCATATTAACTTGTAAAACATTCATCTATGGGATATACTGATAAGTTACATCAGTACCCTAGATACCCAGTGTTTTTAAAGGACAATTGAAATTTAATTTTGTCATTAACAATTTGATCAGAAAATGAAGAATTATGGATAATCTGTCAGCAGCTCTTTCAACTGTAGAATGAAGTTCCTATGATGCTACTGGAATCAATCAGGGCTCATAAAATCAGAACACAGCTTACAAAATAAGAGCAAATGGGTAGGTGTTGCCAAGGTTTATCTGGGTGAAGCTGTATGCAAGTCAAACCTCTCTAACATTTTACTTCTAAAGAGAGTTGTCTTTGCACTGCATATATGTGCATCATGAGATCATGTTAGAAGCAGCTGTATAGTTTATGCTCACGGAAAAGTAAACCAGAAAAACCAAGGCATCATTGTTGCTTGCCTACATTTATCAAGATGATCAGATAACTAAAATGTGCAATTCAATAAACCTTTAAAGTTTTTTCACCACTTCCTGCTCATGGATTGTTCACACAGAAGTTGCATTGCTTCCTGAGACAAAATCTGAAGACTTAGGTTTATACTGTTTCACTTTTACTAGTGGTACCAGACTTCTGCCCTTTCTAAAGTCCCCTTAAAACCCCTCTACTCCCCCTCAACCCTCAGAGTTTTTGCAATTGTGTGGACAAGATGATGTTGGTTTTGACTGGGGTGCTGGCACTGGAGATGGGGAATGGATTTGAGGGATATTTGAGGTGGAACTTTCGGATTTTCTTACGAACTGGATGGGTAATGGTTGTCTTTAAACTCTTTGCAGTTTGAAGATTTCTTAATGTAAATTCTGCCTCCATGGTTTCAAGTCTTCTTAAAATCATCAGTGGGGTCACTTCTGGCTTCAGAATTTAACTTTTACTTCCAATTTTAACTTTGATTTCTCACCTTTTCTATTTAAAAAATCTGTGGTTAAACTCTGCCATTCTAGAGCCTTCTGAAGAGTTACTATTTTCACGTTCACATTCCATATTTCCTGATTAAACAAAAATCAGAGGGTGGGTCTTTAATCAGTTAATGATTAGTTCAGTGTGCTGTTGAGTTGAGCTGACAAAGTTGGTAAGGAAACTGAGAGTGTAAACAAAATTGCGGGAGATTACTTAAAGAGACATAACTGTTTCCAGGCATTTTTTGGTTCTTTAAATGCCCTTGCCACAGTGGTAGGTTAATTTAAATCATACCTACCTGGTAAATAGGGTAGGAATGATAAGGACCTCTTGAGGGAACTTTATTACTCCAATTTATTGCTGGAGACACCTGGAAGTTCTCTTTAGAAATATACATTTTAGACTGTTTTCCAATTTAGCCTGAATTTTACCTGCTTAGACTGAGTTGGGAAGTTTTAAATGTTTTACATATTATAAGTCATAATATGGTCTTTGAATTTTTCTAAATTCAGGATAATGGAGCAAGTCTATACATGAACTTAGAGGAAAGGCAGTTTTAACTCAAAAATGTTATTGCCAATAAGTTCTCTTAAATATATAAAAGTAGCAGAATAAGTTTTTAGGTATAAATAAGGTCATTCATTTTAAGCACCACTAACTATTCTTGAAAACTTTGCTTAAGTATTCTGATAGACAAAAACTGTGTCAAAAATTAATTACAATGACTAGTTTTTTTCCTTCTCCTAAGGAAATAATCTGAAATATGGAGAATATTTGTACATATTCATAAAAGAAAAAATTTAAAAACCTAACAGTCAAACCATCCATATGTTAGATTTTTATGTAGTATTGCAAGAGAT